TTCATTCGTGTCCATGGCAGGCCTTCCCATGCTCCTCGCCCACTTCTACTTCAAGTACAACCAGGCCGGGGTGATTCTACCCATCGTTGTCTCCATCCTCTGCGTCCCCCTCGCCCTGGGTGCCGTGGGGTGGCTCGACCGCGTCGTCAGCAACTCCTACGCCATCGTGGGCATCATCATCATGGCCACCACCTTTCTCTGCGCCATCTATGGTAACGTCCTCGGAATCTTCGGCACATTTATGCTTCTCGTGTCCGTCTATGCTTCATCTGGGGAGGGGATCACTGGACCTCTCACTGACAAGATATACTTCTCTCATCTCGCCCTGGCTGCCGGAAACTACTTTCTTGTATCTGCCATGACTTATCGCTTCACTCAGTGCGGATACGCCTGAGTCACACTAACTTCTTTTCCCTCCTCTATCCTACCTCCACGAGAATAAAGTAGAGCCTTGAAATATCTCTGAATGGGGGACTGATCCAAGTATGAGAGGAAGAAAGACTTCACTTATTGTGGCCATTCTATAGGGTAAAACCATTTAAATTCGGACAATAACGTTTGTTAAAAAAAAAAAGGAATTCCCCATCTCGATCTCAGAGAGTTCTTCCTAACCCAAGATGAACATGTTACTAAGCGAAAATCTTGTGGTGTCCACGATCGTCGAGCACGGTTTCGAAATGTAGGGCGGAAACAAATGTCATATCGCGGATAGGAGAAATTCAAGAAAACGTATGGAGACGACCTTATATGAGAAACGCTTCAGACGTGGTATTGTTAATTCGGTGATTAATTCTTATACCATGGGGAATTAGGGAACATTGAGTACTGCTATACGGAATGCGTATGCCATGAGCATATTCCGCCTTACTTCTGGTGTCCAAACAACATTGTATTCGGACTTTATTTTTTCCGCATCTAAGTTCGGACAACCACATAATAGTTACAATAGAAAGCTTTAAGGCTTCGAAGGACATTTTCATAACACCTACTCAAATGCTCCCAGACACCAAAAACAAGTAACCGTCTTGTACCAATAACGCGTGAGGAGCGAATTACAATGCTGTCCCAGCTTAACTGTCCGAACATCGGTGGTTTTAACCTAATATGGAGACTAATGAGGAAGAGAGAATATCATATACCCCGGAAAAAGAAGCATTATGCGGTGTTAAGAAAAAATCGAGGCAGAGTCTACATGCAGCACATTCAACTAAACATTACAAAGTATAGAAGAGAACCGAGTGAATCTTGGACTCTAGTTTTTTTCTTCATTTTCATGGGCTGGGATCGATGGAATGTGAACCCATTAAGGATCTCTCCGCCTAAGTTCATTTCGGCTGGAGCATGGACACGGACGTGGGGGTCCATTAAATGAATGGCCGCGTGTGATGGAATGAACAAGGGCAAGGGAGGTCCTCATTGCTCTCAGCCTCAGCCACCATCGACCGGATTCAATTCGTGTCAGCAGAATTCCTCGACCCCCTTCAGTCTCTCGCTGCTGACTTCGCCAAAAGCCCACATCAGGGCTTCTCGCCTAATTGTATGACCCGAGGGGCCACGTCAAGTATTCTCGCGAAGAAACAAAATCTGACATGGCACTTGTGCGACCTTATCTTTCAAGTTGAGTCTTGTCCCAAATAGAAATGCGAAGTAACCAGGGTCATGACGTATTTAAAATACGAAATGTAATTCTCTCATTTCAATCTGTACTTACAAATAGTCGTAATCTAGAACCAATTATTCATTAATTTTCCGTATTTAATATCGGAAAATTAGGTTTCCACAGAATTTTTATTGGATCAGGCGATACTATTTTCGAATGCTGCTCCAGCAATGTCGCTGCAATATAGTAACTAGTGGAGGTAGTGCATCGTGGAATACTTGAAGAAAATTGGGAGTCGAATGTATCTGTCATTTTGCATACAATTAATATACATCCCCCCCCCCCCAACTCTCGCTACCAACAGCTTCCAGATTCTCATGACGTTTCCTCTCAAGCTATCAAGAGGCGGAAACCAAAAGTCGGATGGGTTTCAAGGAATCCCTATTTATTCACCCGAGATCTCAATCATCCAATTTCACCAACTCATCACAACGTTGTACATAAATAATTCCCTTTCTTGGAATTTAATCTGTATCACTTTTTTCAGGACTTCAGGCAAAGGAATGAAAACGAGAAAAACCAACAAGTCAATGGTGCAGATGCGGATTCAACAAGAACGAGAAACTTCACTAGTGAGGTCACTTCTTTTTTTGAGAAGCCATTTTGGAGAGCATGGCATTACCAGAAATGAAGGTGAAGAGGCCCAGGGCAAGAAGGTACTTGAGGGTGTGGAACATGTCGAGGTGAAGCCAGAACTGGAGATAGAGGAAGAAGATCCCTCCGAGTCCCAGGTGGAAAGACACGGTGGCAGAGGAAAAAGATAAGAGAGAAAGATTGGCTCCCATGAGGAGCCAAGCGATGAGAAGTCCGCACAAGGGGAGAATGACGAGAACCGAGAAGAGATTGGAGATGATAAGATGAGGTCGTCGTTCAGGTTCCCGAAACTTGTGATCAATCTCTGGCTTTGCCTTCAATTCCAAGCCCTTCGTTTCCGCTCCACCAACGACCTGACCGTCATTTTCAGGAGGACCGAGGTCCACGTTGAGAAGGCCTAGGGTCCATTGGATGGGGTTGGAGACCACGGGGTCTCCGACAATGAGATCCAGGTTATACAAGCCAGGAAGGCCTTGAAAGAGTTTCCCTTTCAAAGGATCCACGTCGAACTTGTACATTCCTGTCTGATCGTGTTCCGGTATGAAGACGAGTTCCCTTCCCGTCGCCTCGTGAGCCAGTCGAAGGAAGACCTGATGCGGCGTCAAGGCCTTGTCCTTATCCATATCCCCACGAATGAGAAATTTCCCTACCAGCTTCTGTCCGTGCTCCAAAGCCAAGGGTGCGTCCATCTTCTTCCCAGTGGTCAAGGTGACCGTTTGAGACGTCAGGGTGCCCTCAGAGGCAGACTCGGAATCCACCGTTGCCAATTCTACCGTGGGGATTGAAGCCATGGTCATCACCTTCACTTGGAATCGCACTCCTTTCAGACCCATGAGATGCGAGGCGGAGTCCCCTTTCGCAGCCTCGCCCGAGATCAATAACTCGTGAAAGCCGGGTGAGGGTCCCGATTTCATCACGGACATCACGTCCACGTGATACGTCGAATCGCTTCTGGTGAAGGGGACGTTCGAGGCTACTACAGCCTGATCCGTGACCCGAGTCAGGGTATCCAGGGTCAACTTCAACGGGCTCAAGGGTTTCCCCAGCAGGTTTCGAGCTTCCACTTTCACCAGAGGCTGGTTCTTCCCAACGCCACGGTTGGAGACGAGGGAAAAAGAGACTGGGACCTGGTAGGGATTCTTGGACAATGCCGCAAGAGCATCCAGCAGATAATACAACCCTCGTGTGTTTCGAACCGACCGACGAGACATGAAATAGGCTGAAAATTTCAAAATCTCCTTCTCTCCGATCGGAGGGGGTTTCTTCATCACCTCCGACACGTGATAGATACCGGTTATAATGACCGACGTCATCGAAAGTCCACCCTCGAATTGGAGCATCTTCCCGTCCACGTCATCGGCCTGAACCAGCACGTCCTCGATCCGGTCGTAGAGAGTCTTCACGTCCAGTTCGCTTTTCTTTGGGTCCAGCAAGCGGATGATGTGGAATGCATAGCCAAGATTGCCCAGGGAATCGTCGGATTTCAACGCAGACAAAACCGCCTTACCCACGCTCTTGTCGTCTGAGCCCTTCACGGTCATCTGGGGCAGCAACTCCGTAATCTTCTTGGCCAGATAAATGTCCCGGACATTGGGTCCTCCGAGAGCTTTCTCCAAGAGAGACTGGAGGCCTGATTCCACCTTCGCCCCGATGCCCAGGGACCCAGAGCATTTCTTCTCAAGGAGATTCAACGTCTCCACCGCGTGATGGAGGAGTTCTACGTTCCCGTTTCCGACATCCTTGAGGGCCTCCTCGATCAAGAGACAAGGATCATTTGTCGGCCGATACAATGCCGATCCCAGGTGACGCTGAGCCAAGAGGGCATAATGCAAAGTGGAAAGATCTTTCGTCTTCTCCGCCTCTTTCAACATTTTCCCAAACCGATCGTAGTCTGTCGATGTCACGTGGTTCAAGGGTTCAAAACCAAAGGCCAAGGTCAAGGCCAAGGCCATCCACGACCACATCATTATCACATCCCTCTTTCCCATCTGGATACGGATTCCAATAGATCTCATCTTCTATTACAACTTTCGACTGTCAGCTATCTCTTTTAGATGGACTGGTAACTGCGTTCTCAAGCCGCTGTCTAACCGACTAGGATCCTAATCCAAGCTTCACGACCGATGACTCATCAATTACCGTACACTTAAAGATTACTTGACAGGCTGGATATACTTCCTACTTCCAATTCCAGAGCAATAGCCACATAATCTCTCGTAGGATGAGAGAGGGGTGCACACTCGCATCCCGGGCCACACAAAATGCCATCTCCAATATGGAATTTTGCACCGAGAAAGTGAGGAAGAAATGATTAGGCAATACTCACGTCAGAAGACTGTCCTCCTCCGGGCGTGCATAGGAGAGAGTGTGACTAGTCACGCACTGGAAAATCGAAACAGGAGAGGGACACCGGGTGGATCTCTCTCTCGTCCTATATCCCATGGAAGAAGAGCATGGAGGAGGGAGAAGAAAAGGAATTGGGGGGGGGGGGGGGGGGGTTTCTCGATCCCTCCTGCCCGGGNGGTGTGGATTCGCTTTCCCAGTGAATTTTTCCAAACCTGAAACCTCCAAGTCGCTAGTAGCTGGACTCCGTGGGCATATTAATATGCACAGCAGAAATTGGCATACAGTGCCATATTTAACTCCCGTACATGTTCACTGGCATAAGATGATCATCCCCAGAAATCCCGATCAATCTTGCAAGCAAGCAATCTTACAACCTCATCGTGCCATTGCACATTACAGGTTTCATCAGACGAAGAAAAAAAAAACAATACAAGCACGTGAGATCACATCAGCAAGTGAACCTGAGGCCATCAAAGTACAAGGATTTTTGCGTATTAATAGAAAAAGGAAAACTGCACTTCACATAACCCTTCGGAAAGGAAAATAATAACTCAAAAACCAAGCGCCACGCGCCGGATGTGATCTGAAGAAATGATACTGATTTATAAATGAAACTAAAGAGAAAGGAAAAGACCAATGATGAAGGCTTGGCCTGCAAGGTTATAGATGCTGTCCAGAGTAGCTGAGAACTTCCCACCTAAAAACAGAACCAGAACAGAAAAGAAAGCTCATCATCAAAATAATGGGGACCCAAATGAGAAGAAACTGAGTTGCCACTCACTTAAGGTTTGAACTTAGACTTGTTCATTTCCCTTTTTCTCTTCCTCTTCTTCCCCTCCCTCTTTCTCATCTTCTCCTTGCTTCGCTTCCATCTTCTCTTCTACATTTTCACTCTTCGCACCCTCATCGACCTCCTTCTCAGCTTCCATCGGTTCTTCCACGTCTTTCCTCCCCTCTTTTGTCTTTTTATTATCTTCCTTGGCTTTGTCAGATTCATGTTCCTCAGTATCACGGATTGTAGCATTAGTAACATCTTCGGCATTGGTTTCAGCACCTTCAACGACTTCTTCGGCACTCTCGATTGTGCCAGGGACGCCCTCAAAGTGACGCAGTTTTTCCTTCAACTCCTTCACGTCTTTCTTGAGGGCCTCGTTCTCGGACTGCAGTGTCTTCACCATCTTCAACGTCTTTTCGTTCATCTTCGTCAGCAAATACCTGAAGCAAAACAATAAAATACCACTTTAAACAACAGGAAAGTCTTAATTTTTAGTCCACAGAAATGTTGACCATCCCGAAATTACAATGAACCTTCCATACATTGAAGTACATCATCATTTTCTTATTTCTGATTGCACCAAATATGATTGCATTATCACAGATGCTGCAATTACAAAACCTGCGTGTGCCCACACCGAATATATGCTTCCATCAAGCTTATGAATTTTTCTTCTCTTCTGATGAAACCTGTAATGTGCAATGGCACGATGAGGTTGTAAGATTGCTTGCTTGCAAGATTGATCGGGATTTCTGGGGATGATCATCTTATGCCAGTGAACATGTACGGGAGTTAAATATGGCACTGTATGCCAATTTCTGCTGTGCATATTAATATGCCCACGGAGTCCAGCTACTAGCGACTTGGAGGTTTCAGGTTTGGAAAAATTCACTGGGAAAGCGAATCCACACCCAGGAAGTCATCGTTCCATTAGAAGCTGGATCATTTCCAATGAAAACGAGAAATTGCTTTGCTTCTTTGGATATATGAAACGTGACGATTGTTTGGTGCCAAGTAAATAAAGTTTGATGGTCACTTCATGGCATCTGATGAAATACTGAGTTCGATTCAAGTCTGGTGGTGAAATAATTTCGTGAAGATGATAATTTGGTGATTACAATTAACAGTGACAAAATGATAAACTCGTGATGAATCATTACTTCTTCGTGAAGGAGTCAATATTATTCGATGAATTTAAATACTTCCAAAAAAATTAGGCAAAACGGAATTCACCAAAATCCACCTGGCAGGAATACATCTCATCCACACGATAATAAAAAAGTGCCAATGCATTTCTGTTAAGATAAAACTTCCTGCTTCCAGTGTCTTCTTGAGCTGAAATATTCTCCACTCTCTCATTGATAGCGCAACATACCATCTGCGATGACGGAAAATCGAGCTTAGTTAGAAAGCTTTATGATGGCTTTCCGATGACACAATTTGACGTTATCGCGGCACTGGATTAGGCTCAATCAAGGGTAAAAAAGGACTAGGATAGAGGCACCAGTTTGTGGACGGGCGCCAATTTGTGGACAGTTTTGCGTTTTTTGCCATTTCACAAAATTCATGCCGAAAATTTATTTCCTCAAATGCTCCATATTTTGCACATGCCTGTCAACCACCATATAAATTATGCATACCCATCAGCATAAGTGAACTTGGACATTTTCGCTCAGTTTTAGACCTAGCACCCCTGAATTCCTTAATTTTTCCAATGATATTTCTTAACAGGACATCAATGAAGATGAATAAAACTGCTGTACATATTTTTCTATTTGGCCTACGCACGTTCATAATTGTTGACAAAAACTGGTATCCACAAACTAGGTCTGTTGATGTCCACAAAATGGAAGCAGACCGTCCACAAATAGGTACCACGTGAAAATCAACACATACCCATTTAAACAGTTATTGTTGGAAAAGTATATTTTTAATATTTTATTTTAGGGTATGGGCATCAAACTATGATAAGTGGCCTCCCGTTGAAACATATCAAGCGGTTTCTCGGTTACCCCAGCGACCGTAATGCAATTTCCAGAGGAAAATTTCCTTGACCTGTCCACAAACTGGTGCCTTTACCCTATATCAGCTCAAAAATGCTCACAGAGTGGCTTCGATTACAATTTTGCAACAGGGCTAATGTTCCATGATGTTCACCAAGTTCGCAAATTTCTGAGCCCTGGTGACGATTTGCAGAATTTCCAGGCTGTAGTTTCCCAGCGCCCACACCAACGGTCTATTTCCGGGGTGCTCAATTAAAATGTGGGAAGGTTCATTAAATTGACACCCTGGGGTTAAGCAGTCCAGTAAATGAAGAGGACCTCTTTCAGAACAAGGGGGAGAGGATCGAAGTCCCCAAACCCAGCGTGGATGGTTCCTAGCTGTCAAATTATTTTGCCAAGGTGAAGGACGAATGCAAAAATAGGGGGAAAATGCAAACAAAAAAAAGACCCAGAATCGGGGAGGGTCGGGAGTCAGGAAGATGGAATCTCGCGATCCAAAGGTTGAGCACTCCTAGTCTATTGAGTCCTTGGAATCTCTTTTTCAATAAAGGATGCTAGCCGAAGAAGGAAGCAGGCACTGACTCAACAGCATTTTGGGGCTTCTCGTGTTCCTCGTAGAGGGCCGTGAGGGCCCTTGTCAGCGCCTCTATCACACCTGCTTTCTGAAGGTAGCTTTTGAACTCCACTTTCTTCGACTCGATTGAATGCTTGAAGAAGACCAAAACGTTTAAAAGGGAGAGCTGGCAATAGCATCGAGTAGGCCACTTCGTGACAAGAACGACTTACAGGTAAGTTGGAGGAGGACACGTCTGTCATTTCCTTCTCTTTGGGTATGGTCATCAAGGTGACTCGAGTTTCCTTGTCTTGCCCAGGAAGTTTGACCTCTTAACCTGCTGGAGGAAGGTCGTTTACATCACAGGAAGGTTACCAGGAGGTAAGTTAAGAGATCTTAACTCGCCTTCGCGTCTACGCGGCTGTAACGGGTTCTCACTGAAGCCTTATGTTCGTAAATGCTTTTCTGCAAGCACATCGGCATAAACTACGACGATTAACTGGCTTGCAATTAACTTTCCAGCGAACCTCCTCCCCGAACGGGAGTTCAAAATATAGATTTAAAACATATCAAATATGACCAAATATGGGCTCTTAATTTAAAAACATGACACAAATATGTCCATATCATGTTTTAACCATATAAAGTCCCTCAACTCCTTCCAGCCAAGTTTGGTGCATATATAACGAGATGTGTCCAAATAAATCCTGTACATACGACTGTATTTGGTACTTCCGTAAGGGTCCTTAACCTACATGATTGACCCATACCGTTAACTGCCAAACCGAAAGGCAAAGCCAATAATTTTTCCTTTAAACTCCCTGCACTCATGTAACTCATGTTACAACTGTTCACTAGTTTATCGACGCTCTACCAAGGAGTTATCGAAGAGGCCGATTGAAACGAATCCATTAGCCAACGCATCAAAACACTTATACACCCCATGAATAAGGTGATTGATAACGAAGGTACAAAACCTATTAAAAACTTTTGCCGATCGATTGGATTAGAAAATTCCCGATAACATTTTCCATTATTGTCGATTTTGAGCCTCGAACGGCTTGTCTGTAGACACAAGAAACCTTTTCCAGCAATTTCCAGCGTTGGCACGAACGGACATTTAACGGACATAACGGCGTTATGTAGGGTAAATTACAAAACCCGCCACCTCACCTACGTTCTGAAATTGATGACCTTCGAGAGGAAAATGCACACACTGTTCGTTCACGTTTTGAGGCCGGACATTGGTGCAATTAGGTTGAAAAAGACTGGATGATACGTTGAATTATGTCAAGCGAGTGGCGGATTTTATAGCAAGGTCGGAATATGTATCACATACCCTGAGTCATCGGTCACTTGTTAACATTTTTTTAAAGCAGACAAAAATATGTTCAAAATCAACTTGCTACAATGAAAAAATTGCTGCTTTCAAGTTAGCTCTAAGCTTTCGCATGGGCGTCCTTAAAAGGAAGGGTCAAAAAGAAACCTGGTCTACTATCGATAAAGGCAATAGCTTAAAATTCTATAAATCGAAAATGATTCCCATACACGTGCCATGTTTCCTTGCTTTTAGGACAATCACTAGATGCTTCACTCATTCCTCATGAAGCCTGAACTTTTTTTGTTGCTACTCAATAAATTTCAAACATATGGAACTTCATGACTCATTCAGTCACTGATTTCAAATCACTGTGAGAGCGACTAAGGATGGTTTTCTAGCACACTCCAAAGATTTCCACATACATTTGCTCTTCCTGGGCTTGAATTTTGTCAAAATATGCCTTTTGTGAGTATACATGCTGCATCATACCTTGTGATGAAAGGATAAGCGCCTCACTTCCATGAATGTTCAAGGATACAAGCCATTCTTAAATAATACTACAGAAAGCACTCGAGTCCTTCCTGTTGTGTTTTAGAAAAGAAAAAACTGAATCGTGAGTGCAAGAACGTTTAAAATTTAGTTTCTGACAAATGTGGAAGGCAAAGCAAACCAAACCAAACCAGGAGCAAGGTTCATAGTGGAACCCAGATGGTGTGGCATTAGAGCCAACCTCCCTGGACCTGAATAATTGCCCCATTCCATTTCCCCTTCTTCTGTACAGAGGCAAAAAGGCTGTGACTCCAATTTTTTTGCAAAAAATTGCTTAACAAAAAAGCACTGCTCTGATATTTTGCTTTAGCTTTATATAGAAAATGATGCCAGAGACAACAGGCAGCATCTCATCAGAGGATCTCAACTGCAGAGGGAGAATGGTTTGTGTGAAGTGGAGTTATTTCCATTTGCCTTGGTACAGTGTCCCATTTTCTTACTCTGTCCTCACAGGTGAACAAGAAAAGACAACACACAAATTGCATCAATGTCGGTTTTTTCTTCTCTTTAATCCCATCGAGATCACGAGGGAGTTTCAGATCTCGAGACAACTCTCACTGCAGCTGCAAGCAGGAGCAACCCTTCTCGGATCAAAAGCACAACACACATCTACCTGTAGATCAAAGCGAGAGAGGATAAAGAGCAAACCAACAAACTCCTTTTCAGGAGAAAGAGAAAAGGAAACATTTCTAAACGCCGACCTCCTTCAAGGGAAGACCAGGGAGAGGAAAGGACAGGGGAGAACACCACCTTTTTTGAGATTTTTTTGTTTCAGTCACAACAGATGAAGAGTCAACCAGTGAAAAGAAAAGTCAGTTGGAGTTTCTCTACTGACACACTACCAACAGTGAGAGAGGGAATGATTGCAGGGTAAAAGGGCAGATATTACGCTTGGAGAAACACTGAAGTTGGTTTTTTTGCTTTCTTTTGTACTTGGAAAATGAAACAAAAATCTGCTAAACTGGTCAGAACGAGATCACAGACTTTCTGCAAAGAAAAAGTGGCAGAACAAAGGGAGAGAAAATGGGTGAAAGAAGGGAAGACAGCAAAATAAGTTAGTAATGAGTCTAAAGGAAGATAGAAATAAATAGGAGGAACATGACATGACAGGGGAAGAGGGGGCCAGCATCATTTCATCTGTAAATGCAACCATTGCCAAGAGGACAGATCTAGAAAGAGACACAAAGGGGAGGTGTCAAAGGTCACACATAAGACTGTACACAGACTCCTCAATGCCCAAGACACTCACTTGACCCGCATAACCCAATATTTAATTCGGAACTTCTTAGGATGAAAAGGTGACATCCTGAACAGCTCATTGACACAATAAGAGGAAACAATTGCTTTACAGCTCAGAACTCAATTATAGTGGCTCCAAAAGTTATCAAGCAGGTATGACATTCAGGTGCTCCATGCACCAGAATATACATTGGATAGGGATGCACTGGCAATTGATATATGTTCATACATTGGTCATTAAGAAATGGTAAAATCAATCAGCTCAGTACGGGAAAGGGTAGATTTTTTGCATTGAATAGTTGTTATGGGTTTTACAGAATTCCCAGCAAGTGTAGCAGTATTACCAACTTCACCCAGTTAGTATAGGGAGCACAGAGTTTTTTCAGAGGACTGTCTTAGATACATGATGTACGAAGTTATGCATAATTCCACTTTGCGCCACCTTTACAAATGTGAGAGCAACTCTGTGCAGCCACTTCCATTTCATTATGCATTGGCCAATTCAAATGTGAATGTCAGTTGAATTCTGGCTGAGCTAATGTAGCAGTCAAAGTTGTTGATAATCTGATTACTCTATACATGGATACAGCCTTAGCTTAAAAAGCCCCTAAAGTGATATGATCCATGGAGTAGTTACTATAGAGAAATGGCAAAATACATGTGAAGTAGGTCAGGCTGCCAAAGGATGAGTATTGGTCAAAGATCCATTTCAGAAATTCATCAACAATTGAGAGATTGGAGGCATGAGAGTCGAGTGAGGGTCTCTCAAATCAAGGGAAGGGGAGAGAAGGAGTGCAAGGAGGGAAGGAAGAAAGAATGAAGAAAGAAGAGGGAAGGAAAGGAAGAAGGATAGAAGGAAAGGAAGAAGGAAAGATGGAAGAAGGGAAGGAAGAAAGGAAGAAAGGAAGAAAGGAAGAAAGAAAGAAAGGAAGAAAGGAAGGAAGGAAGAAAGAAAGAAAGAAAGAAAGAAAGGAAGAAAGGAAGGAAGAAAGAAAGGAGAGGAGAGATGGGATGGGGTGATGGACTAATCCTCTGTGTCAAGCCCAAGACAGTTGGTGAGTTTAGGGGTGTAGATGCAGGCATTGGGATCAAGGGAGGAAGCATAAGCTCCCCCTGTGGAGGTCGACAAGGGTGGTGATGGGGAGAGGAACGAAGAGAACGATGTCACCGGGGTAACCCCACCAGGGGAACCTGTGCCTGTTGCCGGCATCACTGCCATTACCTCTGCCACTCTGCTCTTCAGATCTTCCACTTCCTTCTCTTTCATCAGCAGTTGGCCTGAGAAGAAAAGAAATGTTGACTCAGTCATCTTTTGCTACATACAACTTGTTGAAGACCTTCATCTTCATTCCAACCAAAAAGCAGACCACAGATAACCAATAATTTTGCATTTTGACTTGGTAGCATATCCCTTCCTGTTAGTCTAACCCAGGGGTGCAAAACATATGGCCCATGGTTGACCATGATTTGTTGCATGGAAGTACTATAACGGCTCCTGCCCTGTGGGCTGCATCTATGGTCAGCCAGACTGTGGTCTATGATAAGTGAGTAAAAATCATAAATGGCCCTTACAGTCTATTGAGTTGTGCACTAGGTCTAACCTGATCAAAGCATGAAGTGGAGGAATATGATTGAATAGAGAATTCATTAGCACCCTTTATTTGTATAGGAAAAGCACAGACTGTGAAAATAAATCTATAATATTTACACAAAAACACTATCAGATAAGTGGTCATTGTGAAATTCTTGAAGATCACATTAAATTTTTTGTTCATACTTTAGATGCCAAATGCTGAGACAAAGCATGCAAGACTTCACTTCATATTTTATTAGATTGCCATATAAAAATGTGACAAATAGATAAGGTTCTTCTTCAAGTTGGTTCATACTACTAACATCACCCTCAACTTACAATGAAATGATCTAAAGGCAAAGACAGGCTTCCTCTGGTGACTTTTTTTCAAATTCAATATTGGCTCAATTCCATCCTTACCAAGTTCATGCATTAACCCTATAGATACAATAATGACATACAGCATGTCATGTTTTATACAGATTTTGCTAAAGTGACACACAGGAAGGCTGCTTCCTGTCTTATTGCAGAACACAAAACTTCCTGTTGATGTCTCAATAACTTTCCCTTAGAGTTGCAAATTCATAGCGTATGGTAGGTCTAATGGCAGTACACAGGGTTCAGGTTAAATGCTACTTATATAACTTACTCAGCAGTGAAAGGGTTAAAAAAAAAAAGCAGTTTATAAATTGGAGATATGCAGATTAATTGGAAAGTTTTTCTGTGTTGTTTGACATTGGTGTACACACACAAAATGGACTAGAACAGAGAAACAGAGGGAAGCAGATTAACCCTATCATACAGATTAACAACTCATCAACAAAAGTGAAACAATCAACACTAAGAAACTTTAATTACCTTTTCATTTTAAGAGTTATTATTTTATTCTCAAAGTGAGTAGGAAATCCAGGTTTGAAGCTCAAACTGCATGGCAAATTGAAGCAACATTCTAACTACTGCATGAGCACACCAAAGTTTGAATTAAATTGTTATTCTTGTAATGATAAGATGGAAGATCACTTACTCTGCTTGATTTCAAGTTGCCTCTTGGCCTCTCCAAGAGCTGAGAAGAGGTCAAGCTTGAGTCGAGTCTCGGCAGAGAGGCTGTTCTCAAGATGAGCATTCTTATCCTGCATGGCGCTGAGAGCAGTGAGTAAAAGCTCCATATCCTGATGCCGCTCAGCTGCCTGGCGTAGGCTAGACATCTCCTGTTCCAACTGCCGTGCTCGTTCCTCACTTGCCTTAAGTTCTGCCCGCAGGCTCTTGAGCTCAGACTCAAGCTCCCGACGACGGCTTTTGCATGACTCAGCACAGCTGTTTCTGGCTGTCTTGGAGTGCTTTCTCTCAGCAGCCAACTGGGATTCTATCTGTGCTCTTAATTTTTTCTCTTCCTGCACTTTCTTCTCCAAGGAGCTGATGATCCCCTTGTCTTGCTGACGAGCTGTCACCAGCCCATGCAACCTGGAGCCAAACAAAATCAGAAACTTCATGGTCAACTTTCATGCAAATGGAACTAATGTTTCAATCATGAAAAAACAGGAATCAAGATTGTTTCCCTATCCTTAAAAACATCACTGAAACCTATTCATTACTGCAACTATAGTAGAAAACCATCACTAATAGTCCTTCATGAGATATTTACCCTCTCACAAGGACTGATACCAAATGGTATAACCATTTTCAAACGCCTCTTAGGAATCTATGTATCACAAATCTTGTGTTAACTGTTAGAAGTCAGAGATCCTATGTTCAAAAGACAATGAATTTGCCATCATTGCAAGCTATTGTAGGTGAGAGAGTGGTCTAAAAAGTTCCAGCTTCAGACTTTTGCTTGTTGAACTGGTAGGCTGACTGATTATCCCTAAAAAAAAAAATAGTATTTGATGGCTTTGAGGCAAAATAAAAATAATTCAGTTAGATCTAGGCTAATTCAAGAGTGCAAAGTTACATTTGGTCAAGTCAAAAAGAGGAATTGCTTCCCTGTATTTCATGATAAAAAGTATATTTTTTGCTTTTGCCTTTTGCATTCTCTGACTTAGTTTTTATCATCAGCTTCTTTTTCATCACTAAAGGTGAACAGTTCAATTTGGCATCATGGAGATATAAAGAAGCACAGTCTGAAAGCAGAAAAAACCTTGACTGTTCCATGTAAGATGAGCTCAAAACATGTTTTATATTTTTCATTCACCAATTTCAAAATTCTGTTCTGAAAGAGTTAAGGATGCAGAACTAGGCACATGACCATTTGAAACTACTGCATATAATTGATGATGATACCAGAACTTCCTTAGGGATTAAATGTCATAGGAAGACTTAAACTACATATGCTCAATCAATGGGGAAAAATTAGACAAAACTGCCAAGCACTGCCCACACCAATACTAGACCTAAGCTATGTGAATGTTACATCATTATGGGCTTATGAGATGAAAACTATGCTTTCTCAATTTCCTTTCCAGATTCATATTCTTAGCTTCTTCAAAGAGGAATATCGGTGAATATCAGTTATTGATATTGGTTTACAGAATATTGGGAGGAAGGGGGTAGAATATAGGATTGTTGGAAAAAACTGATTGTTACATCTCTATTTAGAATCGACTTTGAAATTCAGGTTGAGCATGTTTGAACATGAGACAGTATCAGTTATATATAAAGTAGGGTTGTCACAAATGCATTTTTGAAAACATCAACACATCAACCATAACTATTGATAAGCCATCAGTGCATAGAGGAAGTTATTTACTGCCCCTGAGTACTGGAGGGAGAGAGAAGGCAGAGGTTAGCAAGTAGATTCCATCACCTCACTATGCAATAGGGGGTGGGAGTGTTGTTTTCTCTCATGTCTTATAACAATTGATCAGGGAGGAGATTTGCTGAGTCAATAGGAAGACTGGCTTTTTCCCAATTTCAGGTGAGGACATTTATTGGCCTAGGGCATGGGTAAGTTCCTAGTTTAGACCTTCAAAGTAAACTAGACCTCTATTGCCCTGTCCTAAACCAAAGGTAAAAAGGCTGTGACTCAGATGTTGAACCTTAACCTAATAAATATGGCAGCAAGATCTTGAAAAGCAGGCTTGCATGCATGTACCCAACACCATCCAGCTAAAGAGAGAGGCTGTATTAAAATTAAATCTGACCTGGTCTGCAGGGAATCATTGTCAGCCTGGAGTTGGTTGACCTCAGCACGACATGCACGTTCAGTTGCTGATACACTCTGCAATGCATTGCGCATGTCTGTCTCCATCCCTCGAGACACCTGGAGCTCGGCCTTCAGCCTTTTCACATCTGATTCCAATCTGCACCACAAGCATTGCAGTCTTTCCTTTCATGAAAACTTTTAAAAAATCTCGAAAGAAAGACTACTTTAGAATAACCACTATTCATTGGAGATTTATGGAATTTTTCAGCAAGTAATTTCGAGCTAACAGTAATTAGCAACTTAGAATGCATGAGAGGATATCATACTGCCAGTCTACTAGAGGAAAGGGAACAGACCTGATACAGAATTCATCCTTGCCACCAGCAATTCCATTGTTGAGAGTTTCCTTGTTATTCTTCTTCTTCTCCTTCCCAGATGATACATGAGGTTGAGTGCAGGTGACAGGGGACGGCATGGTGACCGTTGATGATGAGGATGATGTAGATGAAGAAGAAGAAGAAGTTGGCGATGCATTGGACGCTGTCCATCGCGTGGCCGAATTCGAGCGGGAATGTGTCAAACCCTTAGATCCGAGCGTCTTGTCCCGCTCCAGATCATGTTCATCGAAGTCATTCACCGACCTGGAATATTTACAGCTGCCATCCCACCAGAGAAAAGAAAGTTTTCCCCATAGGCAGACAAAAGAGAGAAGGATAGAGCAGAAGGAAGCAGAAAGTTAGAGAGAAAACAAAGATGAGAGGAAAGAGGAGGAAAAGAAAAGACAAAAATTGAGGATGAGCAAAATGAAAACCTAAGCAGAATATATAAAAGAGGCAAAAACAAAATACCTAGTACTAGCAAATAAGGAGATAGGTGGATAATAGATGAAATAATGGAAAAGAACTAAGGTTGGTATGGCCTCTACACTATGTTAGCTAAGTGAGAGAGGTAGATCACTAACCCAGGCTTTCGCTCAACATATTCAAAGTCAGAGGAGGGTTGAAGGTGATGATTGGGATTCCCATTGGGAAGATCCTCTCGATCTGCTTTGCCCTTTGAAAGGAACAACCTCTCCCGTTCTGGCCCACTGAGATCCTCCACTCGAGATCCCACTGTAATCCAAGTAACCACATTCTCATCTTCAAGCATTTCTAAGAACACTCCAGTATCTGTAAAATTTCATGACACAACAGGACCAAGGGGGAAATGAACATGAAACACAGAGTTCTTGTTTGATCAGAAAAGCAATTATAAAATTGTAACTAGGGTTTCAATGGTGATCAATGGGTGGCAATTTTTCAAAATCAATATCAAAGCCCACAGACTTTCCTTTCCCCTTCACATCGTTTGATGGCACAAGCTGTCATGAACCTTCCTTAAATGATAAAGTCAAAAATTCCAAAAATATTTTGTATTGGTAATAGATACATCATGGGCCTGTTCCTCGCCTCTGCTAAACTTAAATTAAATCTAAAAGCAGTCTAAAAGCAAAAAGTCTATTCTTTGCCCTGACCCTTTAGACAAAGATTTAGATTTAAATTTAAGTTTAGCAGAGGCGAGGAACAGGTCCCATGTTTGGTTTGAATTGCATGGCAAGACCTATACCATCACCCCTGTATGGTTGCCAAGCAACAGTGGCTTGTGTTAATACTGGTTAAAAAATTGAAAACCTGAAAATGACAAATTTCAATGAAAAATTACAATGCCATCGATAGTCTACATTATTATATTATGACAGACCTGTGAAACTCTCAATAAGCAAGTGCATTTTATAGTTAGGCTAGTGAAATGAAAACAGCCTGACTGGTGAAAATCAGGTGGTTCAGCAAGTGAAAGTAACAAAGAAGCACTCCTTCATTGCATGAGGACAAGTTAATCATCCCCTTCCTCACATACACTAAGTTAGCATCACCCATTGCAATTCCTTGTCTCTGCATGGGCCTATCTGTGTAGAAGCTGTATTTTCAGCTGTAGGGAAGGTGGGATAAGAAAAAAAAAAGCTATCTGACTGATGCAAGCTGGCAAAATATTTTCAGGACTGTTCTACAGTCTTTCAAAATAATCTTCACACAAACATTTTCAGTTTGGGTAGCCATGTCATGAGACTTCTCAAGCCAAAGATTGGCTGTTGATGGCATGCACAGAGAGGCTTCAGCTGGAATTGCCTTAGGAAAGAGGAGTACTTCCTACTTCCATCCAAATTCCTGGCATGTTAAATAGAGCACAGAAACAGGCTGAATTAGCTGTTAGTACTCTTAGCTGGCGATGCACCAACCATGATGCTTGACAGAGGATTCCCAGGGTCTATTAAAATATTCTGAGTTTGCTCATTAGGTCAGTCATATTTTGAACATGAACATCAGAATCATTCACTGTCCCTGATATATGTAGGTTCTTCATTCAGAAGTATGGCATAGTATAACAACTTGAAAGGTGGTCTATCTGAAATTAGTAGAAGAATACCCCTTATGCAGGTAAAGGAAGGTGAGAACAGACATTTCTCAGCAGGTGGAGGAGGTGCAATGGGATGCCTTTGAAGAAGCTGGACTTCAGGTGGAAGTGCACCCTGTGTGAGCTGCATGTAGAACTCATTCTCTCGCTGCACCTCCTTCTGCCGTCTCTGTTAAGCACATTTACATCCAATCATTCTACCTACCAGTCAATCAGTCTGACAAAGAGAAGCAATTCACTAAGCCTAAAGTGTCTTGTCACTCACCTGACGAACTTTATAGGAGATGTAGCTCTTACAACCAAAACCCAGTGTCACCACTGGATACCCTATGCTGTAAGGAGAGGAGAATGGCATGAGCATATCAAAATCCAGATGAAGTGAATGAGGAGGAACTGGGAAGCTGCTTACCAGTGTGCAGCAAAGGGTCTACAGAGATCCAAGCGGAAGGGAAGGTTTTTGTGGAAATCTTTGAGACGCACTGAAGCCTCAATATAGATGAACAGAAGCCATAGGCATACTGTTGGGAGACATATTCCTCTGTCTACAAAAATCAAAAAGCAAATAAGCCTATTAGGTAAATCAACAACATGAATTCATGAGCACAATTTGAAAGATTTACCTGAACAAGGAAATTATTTTAACATGGGCATAGAGCAAGAAAGTGGGTGACTTAACCCGCTCCATGCTACAGATGAGTATACTCATCGGGTAACCCAGCACGGCTAAGATAACGATAACTCCCCAGTGGAAGAGTTAAGACAACACAGAATATGGGTACAAGTAAGTCTCAATGATGAGAGTATACTGTAACATGGAGATTCAAGGAAATTCTTCATCATACATAATTAAGGTAGGCATGACACAACAGAGTACTTGGATATCATTGATCATATTCATATACAAAGACTAAATCTCAAAGAATGGATTGCTTTTTTCAAACATGCATGTGAGATATCTTCCCCCTCTACACGAAGGCAAAGACATACCTTGATTGAAGAGAAATAAATGAGCATAGAGCATCAGCAAAGCAATAGCCCCAGTTTGAATGGATGAATTAATAATTCCTTCAAGTTTCATTCTACTCACTTTCCCCTGTAGACTTATCACATCTTTCAAAAAGGAGTAGGGTCTGACCTGTGTTCCAGACAAATTGCACCCAGACGTAAGTACTGGCAATGAAGAAGAGCCACTGAGCAGGGATGAAGAAGAGCCAGATCATGTCGGAAGTCAGAGCTATCACCACAAACAACACTGAGAATGCCTGTAAGGAATTCATGGGAATTCATTAAAATATAGGTGTCTCCCATTCCTTCTAAAATCTTTATTTCACTTGTCAATGTCAGAGCATAATGGGTGCCGGTATAGCGTGCGCTCTACCTTGACATTCTTAGTATAGTGTGCACTCTACATTCCCGATAGGAAAAAAAGATTGTTCCTGTAAGGTTTAGCTCATATAATACTACTCTGAAGTTCGGTTTGGCGCTTATGATTGATCTCCATCTATTCTTCTCAACAATTTCCTCCATTTTCTTTTAAAATACTTTCATCGACTCGTGACCCGTCTAAAAGACCATCGCGACCAAAGAGCGTATATAGACTAGAAGGGCGCATCCTGTACAGCGAGGCAAGCACGGACGGTCCTCGCGGCTGCTATCTTAGGATTGGAGAAATACTCTCTCATGTGATTCTATTGCGGAATCCTATTCGATAAAGCTGGCATCGTACTCTAAATGATATCACACGTGATACAGTTTACCACAGGTGGTCATTTTCCATCTTATTCTACAGGCTTTGAATCTGAGCTAGTTTGAAATGGCTTCTCAAACGTAAAATTTCAGGACCGCAAAACTGCTTAGCGTGTGAAGACCTAGGTCGCAGCCCGTACGGGTCTATCGATTAAATTATAACTAGATCCTTCTAAGGATACCAAGCTCATAGGGGCCTAACTTCTTGCCAAGTTACGTCTATACTGGCAAAAATACGGGTTTGGCCTTTGGCCTTGCCAAAGTCGTAAAAACATTAAAACACACAAAGTCGCTTCAAGGCTCCCTCCATTCCATCCCATCCTAAGATAGCGGACGGATTGGACCGTCCGCACGTGCCTTATGCCCGCTCCAGGTATATACGGTCTATGGTCGAAACCCACCTGTTGAGAACCGCTGCTCTAAAGGAGAAGCTGTCAATAGTGTGTTCTCTACCTTTCCTAGAGGAAATATCAGTCTCTAGAGGGGAAGCAGTATTTATTTAGACGAAGGAAAGATATGTTCAACGGAAAACGGATCTAATGTCGATGAGGAACTGAAGGAATAAGTCATTCGCTTCCTTTCGCATGATACGGTAGCAAAACTCGTCCCAGTGGGACTGCATCATATTAGGCACAACTCCTCTCATCTTCTTCAGGATTTTGGTCTTGCAATCCAGCCAACTTCTTTCAATCGCCTGAGTATTAGCTCCACTCTCCGGATCGACGTAGTTCTCTTGGTGGTTCACCGTCTCATGATGGAAGCCAAGAGCATTCAGGCAGCTGTATGTAGGTCACTCATCTGAATGTATGTGTGATCCAGGAGTAACTTCACGCTGTATTATGGGGATGAGGGTCTCAGCATTTCGTCTCTCCACTACGAAGAACCTCACATCCAATCCTTTTTTCAAACCGAACACCCCAGGGACCATCAACCCTCCGACCGTGGTTGCGTTTATTGACGATATTGACGTTGTCATCCTCCTCTTCCGGCGGTTCGTCTCCATCCAACATGCGCCCACGATTACATTTCCTTCTCCCGGCGAACCTCGCCTCATCTATTTGAATGGGAGCCTCTGCGGTGCCCACCATCTGCCCTTTCGACTGTACTACAACGGCAGAGCACACTTCACGACAGAAGTTCATCCAGTCCATAACGGTATTCTTTGACTTGCCTGTGGTGTTAGTGATCATGGACGCAGGCATCTCAATCACCCAAAGAAATACGATCTCCAAAATCTCGCACAGCGTGAGATTACACCGCATCCTGTTGTTTAAGTCTGTGAACGTGAAGAAATTATTCCCCGTCCGGATGCTTCTCGTTGTCTGGCATCTTTTCCTCGAACATCGCAAAATGGGGTAAGGCTGACCCCTTCGATCCTTTCTTGTCTTTTGCTGCATTTCGCCGCCGCATTTGCGACACAGCTGTGGGTCGCTTCGAACGTCACTCAACAAACTATGGCTCTGAAGGAATGCCACACAGGTTTCCTCGGAAGAAACTACACAATTGTAAAACTCACGTAGAAGCATGATGCAGTGAGATGATGTCTCTAACACAACTGCTTGCCCTTCAGCTCCTTAGCTTTTCTTGCCCTTATCTTCCCCGTAGGAGGGTTTTGTGATCTACCTTCCAGGCAAGCGAGGTTTTGCTTGCTTGCCCGGGAGGTAGATCACACCTTACGGTAGAGCGCACGCTATACCGGCACCGAATAATGTTCTGACTTAAGTCATTGAGATAAAGAGATAAAGGAAACTGAAATAAAACTGTTTCTTCCCGAGAGGAACAAGAAAAGCAAAACACGGCTTCAAAAACTGAAGGATAGAGAAATATCCCTTGAACTAGAGGTTAGACATGTTCAAATAAAATGTAACAGAATGCATGTAACAGAGCTTAATAATGCAATGATACTGTTACTCCATTGGGCAGTTTTGTAGGGGGTGTTCTGGAAATGAAATTAAAACCCCTAATGGTGCATCATATCAGTTCCAAAGCATTTAGTCTGAGCCCATAAGTAAAATTACAGAATAGTCATAATGTGAAAAAAAGTTTATGCATATAGACAATACCATGAAGGCAACACAGAATGAAGAGCAATAAATATAGAAAGGAGAAGAAAGGAGAGAATATAATTCTCCTCTTTTTTCTTATTCAACCATATCAGTTTGACTACAATTTTACATTCATCTACATACACAATTGATGAAGATTGGGGGACTAGTTTGTTTCAAATAATTCCATTAATATGTTTTGAAAAACAGACTTTGAATAAATTCCAAAATGCTTTATAATTAAGCAAATTATACATTTAATTAAGCCTACAATATTTTGTTGAATGGAAAGTGAAATGATCAATAAGAATGTTTATACTATAAGTAATACCAGTATGTCATAAATGGAAAATGTGACTCCAGACTCAGTTCATACTCAAAAGGGATACTAGAAAGTTCATTAAGCTGCTGATGGTGCAGTCAAAGAATGGTGGCATTTCAATGCCATTTCCAAATAGATTAATGCCATCTTTATCTGCCATTCCCACAGGCATTATGGGAAAAGGCAGATGAAGTAATGTGAAAACCAATTTTCAATGGCTTTCCCTTTCTTCAACCCTCCCTCTGCTAGAAGCGAGGGCCGGCCATAGCTGTTTCGGTGTCATGTGCAAGAAGACTCCCAACGCTAACGCCCCCCCCCCCCCCCCCCCCCCCCCCCCCCCC